CTAGTATATCAATCTTTGTATGTTCCATTTCATTTTTGACTATTTGCAATTTTCCTAGATTCATACTTTGTACACTCCATGTTCTGATTTTAACAGATGTTTGGAGCTGTTTCTTCCCATTTTGAGTTGTGTTGCTTGAGCAAATGAAGGTCCCTAAAACTTTACTCCATTCACATCATTAAGGTCAACTCTACTTTGAGGAGGCAGCTCTTCTGCAGTCATATTTTTAGTGCCTTCCAACCTGAGGCACTCACCTTCTAGCACTATATCAGACAATGTTTCATTGCTATTCATAAAGCTTTCCAGTAAAATTTTTACTCCACTGAAAACTTTACAAATAGTAGTGAAATATTATCTGATATATTACTGAATCTCCATGTTTGGGGCTAAATCATGCCTCCTGTGGTTGATATCAGTTTTCCAAGTGTCTTTTCTGGTCAGGCCAGCCCCTATTCACCAGTACAAATTTTCTGGTATGATCTAGAAGCCCTGGGTCAAGGCAACCCAATTACTCCAAGATTTATTTTTCCTGAGCCAATGATATATTCTCTAGAATTTATCTTACTTAGGGAGAAACAAAATCTTTTAACCCACAATGCCCTATGCCTAAAAATCAATTCTAGATAAACCTGTATGTGAAATACATATTCATAATACTTTTTAAAAAATTCTCTAGGGTAAGGACTAAGTGCTTTTTAAAATATAAAATACACTTAACATAAATTGCATGACTGATTAATTCTAACACATATATATTTAGAATATCATTCATCAAAGACACCACAAAGATAGTGAAAATATAAACCACAGCCTGGGAGAATAAATTATATATTGATATAGATATAGATATAGATAAAGACTAGTGGTTAAAAAAAATACAAGGCAACATAGAGGAAAAATGAAAAAAAAATTGATTAAATATTTTACAGAGAGGGAACAAAAATAGCCACTAAACCAGGGAAATGTAAATTAAAATAAGTAAAATACCACCACAAACTTACTGAGTGAGAAAAAATTTAGAAGGCTGAAAATACCATGTGTTGCTGAGGATGTGGTGGGAGTGTAAATTGGTATAAGAACTTTGGAAGGCAGTTTGGTATTATGTAATAAATCCACAAGTATGCAAAGCTTCTTATCCAGCAATTGTCGCTTCTTAATATACACTGCAAAGAAACCTACACATGTGCAACAGTATATATACAAGACTGATATTGGCAGCATTGTTATTAATAGGCCCAAAGTTAAAACATTCAAATTTCCAATAGAATTTGAATAAATTGTGTTCTATTCATAAAATATTCACCAATTAAAATGAATAAGGCACAGCTGCACACAATAACATAGATAGATTTTAAAAGCCTAATATTAAACACCAGATGTCAGACACAAAATAGTACATACAATATGATACCACTTAACATTGTTAAAAATAGGCAAAACTCTATTATTTAAGGATTTGTATATAGGAGTTCTGGTGGTATAGTGCTTAAGGCATTTGACTGCTAATGAGAATGCTGGTGGTTCAAACCCACCAGCCACTTTTTGGAAGGAAGACTGGGTAATCTACTTCTGTAGAGATAGCAACCCAGAAACCCAAAAAAGTTTCGCTATGAGTTAGATCTGACTTGACAGCAGCGAGGTGAGTTTTATATAGTTAAATATATATATATTTAAAGCACAAAGGAATGATGTTCAGAAAAAATATTGCTTACATCTAGGGAAACAGAAACCAAAATAACAACAAAAAAAAACCTCACTGTCATTGAGTTGAGTCTGACTCATAGTGACCCCTCCTTATATTTCCAAGGTGGTTTCTGTGTGCAAGTAGATTGCCCAATCTTCCTTCGGAGGAGTGGCTGGTGGGTTTGAACCACTAGGCTTCTGGTTAGCAGTCAAATGCCTTAGGCCCTACACCATTAGAACTCAAAGGAAGA